TACAAACTTGCTTATGGAGTATATGTGCGAAAATTTAGCTGTAAGTTAAATATATCTAAGATTTACTTTTCAAAATAATGAATTAAACTTACGTAGATCGATAATTCCACACCTATTATTATTTTCAGAGTCAAATTCCTGTGCAGATGTCAATGGAAATCTCTCCACACCATCACCCAGTGGTCTTAGGCAAAAACCATTCTAACTTGAAGCTGATAATACAAGAAACCAACTGCCAAATAATGTTCCCAGATGCCATGGATCCCAACATACCAAATTTAAAAAAAAGTAATGTGAACATTTCTGGTAACATTAACAACATATACAGAGCTAGACAATTGCTGATAGGGAGCTTACCGTTGATGATAATCTTTGATTTGCCGGAAGAATGTACGACTCTGAGGACAAGACAAGATCAAGTGATGGCAATTATGACTAATTTTGAAGTGTCGATTAGTATAAGAGAGAAAGCTAAACAGAACGCTAGAGCTTGTGTTGTTAAAGGGGTTGAAAAAAATGCTGGTAAGTACTACATTTTATTTTTATATTTAGAAGGATATATGATTAAATAAACAGATTGGGAGTAATGTACACACTAATAATAAGATGAACACTGGAATAATACTTCAGTATGTAAAAATTGTAAAAAAAATATAATATATTTTTATTAAATTCGATTGAATTTTTATTATATTTTTTTAATTTTCACACACTGAAGTACTTATTCAATATACGATTATGCCAGATATTTTTATCAATCAAGTACAACTCTTTATCAAAGAAAATTAGAGAATAATTATTTCTATAAACATAAACATTTTTCTCTTTCTTCTATCAATAATTTCTCACGTATTAATTAAGATGCTCTTTTGCACCATTTTCTAGAAAACATTTACAGAGCAAGAAACTACATTCTGGGCTTAGATGAAGTTTGCGTCGAAGCTGATGTCCCGCTATCTTACCATCTTCATTCGGCTCAGCCAGCTTCGCAAGCTTCTCCTAAAGCTTCACATGCTCCACCAGCTAATAACAATGGACATTCCATCGTACCAATGACGCCTACCTGGCAAAATAACCCATCGACTCCTACTCCACAAAACAGCGGCCCTCCATTCGTTGGGATGGTCCAACGACCTCAGTTTGTTTATAACGTGTCTCAGCAATCAATGGGAAGCAGCGGATATCAATCTATCAGCCAATTTACAAATTCCTCGTTAGGACTCGAACCAACCTGCGAAATTGAAAACTACTCCACTTCAAGCAAAAACAGTTCAATTTCCAGCTCTATGTCTAGTCCAAGAGGTCCGACTTCTCCATTTCACAGGCCGTTTAACATGGAACAAGGACAAAAGAATGGTGAGTTAAAAAACTCTTAAAATAGGAGTGGTTTCACTTGGACTGTTTTTGTTTTAGAATTGCCATCCGTTTTGAATTTTTCGTCAGGATACCATGGACCTTCAGTTGACAGACGACAGGATAATTTAACTCCAGCTGATTTTGATTCAAAACGACTGGCTGGTTTTAGAGCTATGCAGAGCAAACCAACCAATGGTGCTTATAGACAACCGAACAGCTCTTGGTCGGGTTATTTTATTAGCCACACAAGCCCTAATGCTTTTGCTGAGGTTTTAAAACAAAAAAAGGTTATTAGTTATTTATTTGAATTAAATGAATATGAAGATCTATTTATTACCTAAAAATGTCACAGTTATATGCTTTGCCGTTAATTTTATTATATTTTTGTACTTTAGCATGAAGAAGAAGAAGTCTGGAACGTTCCTTCCAAACGAGATGAGACGCTTTATCCCAATACGGCAGGCACCACTCTAAACAACAGCGATATCTTGGATCACGGCCCCAATCGCATTTTGAACAACATGCTGTCTTCCGATATCAATGATTTACCAACCCTGTTGAGTTCAGTGGGACTAGACAGATTTAATAGTACATTTACGAAGCACGAAATCGATTTGACTGTATTTTCTACGTTGACTGATAAAGATCTTATGGAGATTGGCATCAATACTTTTGGAGCTCGGAGGAAAATATTGCTGCTGATATCAGGTACGAACTTATTCAATAAAAATTTAAAATTGTGTCTAGTTCTTCCATATTCAGAACTGCTAAACTTAGAAATACTAAATATGCAGTATTTCTATATCCTAAAGCAGTGTTTCTCAAAGTGTGCTCCGCAGAGCATATTTCGCTTTTCAAAAGGGTTCCGTCGCCAAAAACACTGTCCTAAAGGAACCACATCGTAGATAAAAGGTTGAACTTAAGTCGTCTTACTATTTATTTTTCTTATTTGTTTGAAATCAAGGTTAAAATCATTTAAAGAGACACCTTTGAGATTGGTTTTTATTGAAAAATAATAAATTTAGGCGTTTATCTTTAACAAGCTGTTGCCCGCGGCTTTGCTCGTGACTTTGCTCGCATGTAATGTTATTAATATAAAAAAATACATGACTTCCTTTTTTATTAATTTTTATTAGTTTCATTGATTTTCATTCATATTTATTCATTTTTATTCACTTTTATTCACTTTTATTCATTTTTATTCATTTTTATTCATTTTTATTCATTTTTATTCATTTTTATTCATTTTTATTCATTTTTATTCATTTTTATTCATTTTTATTCATTTTTATTCATTTTTATTCATTTTTATTCATTTTTATTCATTTTTATTCATTTTTATTCATTTTTATTCATTTTTATTCATTTTTATTCATTTTTATTCATTTTTATTCATTTTTATTCATTTTTATTCATTTTTATTCATTTTTATTCATTTTTATTCATTTTTATTCATTTTTATTCATTTTTATTCATTTTTATTCATTTTTATTCATTTTTATTCATTTTTATTCATTTTTATTCATTTTTATTCATTTTTATTCATTTTTATTCATTTTTCTTTATTTTTATTCATTTTTGTTCATTTTTATTAATTTTTATACATTTTTATTCCTTTTTATTCATTTTTATTCATTTTTATTCATTTTTACTCATTTTTATTAATTTTTATTCATTTTTATTCATTTTTATTCATTTTTATTCATTTTTATTCATTTGTATTCATTTTTATTCATTTTTATTCATTTTTATTCATTTTTATTCATTTTTATTCATTTTTATTCATTTTTATTCATTTTTATCCATTTTTATTCATTTTTATTCATTTTTATTCATTTTTATTCATTTTTATTTACTTTTATTAATGTTAATTAATATTTATTGTTTATTAATTTATAATTTTTAATAATTTTTAATAATTTTTAATAATTTTTAATAATTTTTAATAATTTTTAATAATTTTTAATAATTTTTAATAATTTTTAATAATTTTTAATAATTTTTAATAATTTTTAATAACTTTTAATAATTTTTAATAATTAATTTTTAATAATTAATTTTTAATAATTTTTAATAATTTTTAATAATTTTTAATAATTTTTAATAATTTTTAATAATTTTTAATAATTTTTAATAATTAATTTTTAATAATTTTTAATAATTTTTAATAATTTTTAATAATTTTTAATAATTTTTAATAATTTTTAATAATTTTTAATAATTTTTAATAATTTTTAATAATTTTTAATAATTTTTAATAATTTTTAATAATTTTTAATAATTTTTAATAATTTTTAATAATTTTTATTAATTTTTAATAATTTTTAATAATTTTTAATAATTTTTAATAATTTTTAATAATTTTTAATAATTTTTAATAATTTTTAATAATTTTTAATAATTTTTAATAATTTTTAATAATTTTTAATAATTTTTAATAATTTTTAATAATTTTTAATAATTTTTAATAATTTTTAATAATTTTTAATAATTTTTAATAATTTTTAATAATTTTTAATAATTTTTAATAATTTTTAATAATTTTTAATAATTTTTAATAATTTTTAATAATTTTTAATAATTTTTAATAATTTTTAATAATTTTTAATAATTTTTAATAATTTTTAATAATTTTTAATAATTTTTAATAATTTTTAATAATTTTTAATAATTTTTAATAATTTTTAATAATTTTTAATAATTTTTAATAATTTTTAATAATTTTTAATAATTTTTAATAATTTTTAATAATTTTTAATAATTTTTAATAATATAATATTTAATAATTTTTAATAATTTTTAATAATTTTTAATAATTTTTAATAATTTTTAATAATTTTTAATAATTTTTATTAATTTTTAATAATTTTTAATAATTTTTAATAATTTTTAATAATTTTTAATAATTCTTAATAATTTTTAATAATTTTTAATAATTTTTAATAATTTTTAATAATTTTTAATAATTTTTAATAATTTTTAATAATTTTTAATAATTTTTAATAATTTTTAATAATTTTTAATAATTTTTAATAATTTTTAATAATTTTTAATAATTTTTAATAATTTTTAATAATTTTTAATAATTTTTAATAATTTTTAATAATTTTTAATAATTTTTAATAATTTTTAATAATTTTTAATAATTTTTAATAATTTTTAATAATTATTTTTAATTTTTAATAATTTTTAATAATTTTTAATAATTTTTAATAATTTTTAATAATTTTTAATAATTTTTAATAATTTTTAATAATTTTTAATAATTTTTAATAATTTTTAATAATTTTTAATAATTTTTAATAATTTTTAATAATTTTTAATAATTTTTAATAATTTTTAATAATTTTTAATAATTTTTAATAATTTTTAATAATTTTTAATAATTTTTAATAATTTTTAATCATTTTTAATAATTAATTTTTAATAATTTTTAATAATTTTTAATAATTTTTAATAATTTTTAATAATTTTTAATAATTTTTAATAATTTTTAATAATTTTTAATAATTTTTAATAATTTTTAATAATTTTTAATAATTTTTAATAATTTTTAATAATTTTTAATAATTTTTAATAATTTTTAATAATTTTTAATAATTTTCATTAATTTTTATTCATTTTCATTAATTTTCATTAATTTTTATTAAGTTTTATTAATTTTTATTAATTTTTATTAATTTTTATTAATTTTTATTAATTTTTATTAATTTTTATTAATTTTTATTAATTTTTATTAATTTTTATTAATTTTTATTAATTTTTATTAATTTTTATTAATTTTTATTAATTTTTATTAATTTTTATTAATTTTTATTAATTTTTATTAATTTTTATAAAAAATTTTGATTAATTTTTATTAATTTTTATTAATTTTTATTAATTTAATTTTTATTAATTTTTCTTAATTTTTATTAATTTTCATTAATTTTTATTAAATTTTATTGTTTTTTGTTAATTTTTGTTAATCTTTATTAATTTTTATTAATTTTTATTAATTTTTATTAATTTTTATTAATTTTTATTAATTTTTATTAATTTTTATTAATTTTTATTAATTTTTATTAATTTTTATTAATTTTTATTAATTTTTATTAATTTTTATTAATTTTTATTAATTTTTATTAATTTTTATTAATTTTTATTAATTTTTATTAATTTTTATTAATTTTTATTAATTTTTATTAATTTTAATTAATTTTTATTAATTTTAATTAATTTTTAATATTTTTTAATATTTTTTAATATTTTTTAATAATTTTTATTAATTTTCATTTATTTTTATCAATTTTTATTAATTTTTAATAATTTTCATTTATTTTTATTAATTTTTATTAATTTTTATTAATTTTTTTAATTTTTATTAATTTTTATTCATTTTTAATAATTTTTATAGAAGGGATGGTAACTTTTTCCTTTCTTGCTAGATTTGTACACCCTACTTTAAGGTGATTACAGCACCCCTTATAATTTTCGGACAAACTAATGAGAAAAAGTAATTTTTTTAAAAAATTAAAATTTCGGCAAAATAAATTGAGGCAATAATATCTAGAATAAGCATATATTTTAAAAATTTAATTTCTTCCAGTTTCCAAGAAAAAAAATCTTTAAATTTTAAAATATTATAATGAAAATATATGCATTCCTCAACAGCAGTATTCCTAAATTAATCCCCAAATTTAAGTTTTTAAAATCTCTTGTTAACGATTTTTTTAAATTCGCCGAAATTAGTGGCTAAAACGCCTCGTTAAGTGCTGCTTTCTGGTTTAAACGCGTCTGTAACTATCGTATTGTACACTCTCAGTCATCATTCGTTTCTTGCAACGATTTACATCAGTTTACACCTGAAGATAGCAGTTAACGAGGCGTTTTAGTCACTAATTTTGGCGTATTTAAAAAATCATTAACAAGTTGTTAAGAGCTTAAATGTTGGGATTATGTTAAGAATAGTGCTGTTGAGGAATGCATTTATTTTCATTATGATATTTCAAAATTTAAAGCACTTTGATTTTTTTCTTTGAAACTGGAAGGAATTAAAACTATATGCATATAAAAAAAAATATATGCATATGCTAGATATTATTGCCCTATTTATTTTCGAGATATGCTTGTCCGAAAATTATAAGTGGTGCTCTAATCACCTTAACAGTCTCTATTTCGAGGTGAAATTGTATGTTTTTCTCGATTTTTAGAATTGAACCAGAGAACTAACTCATTTTCGGCAGCTCCAGGAGCCGAAAGGAAGAAATCCTCTCTAACATCTTCCAGTTCATCAGCAAGTGAAAAATGGTAGCAAAAAATTACTGTAGATGTTTTTTAAAATAATGTTAATAGCCATATATATTTTTTGCTCTAAGCATTGATTCGTTGTTTAAAAAAAATCTTTATTATTTACAATATATTTATTTAGACGTATTTAGGAATTTAGTATGTTGATAATTAATTATTTTAATAAGTTGGTTTAACTTTGTTATTTTCTCCGAACTTTTATCCTTGAAATTTTGTTTAAGTAGGTATTAAAAAAATAATGCCTTTTAAGTTTTGAAGTCTATTGGCAGATTATTATATTATTTTCAAACTGTTGACCTCAAACATTTTCAATCCCAGTTGTATTTTTTCTATTAAAAAATTGCAAGAAAAATATGTGAAAAAGAAAACTCAAGTAAATAATAATTTTGGAGAAATATGTTTTTATTAATATATTTATGTATACAGTCTCACCGTGATATTTTACTTAGAATTTGAACAATTTTGGCTTCGAAAATAATAAAAAATAAATCAGTTGTAACTGTCAACTTTGACGTATTTTCGAAAAATTGCAATAAGTTATTATTGTCAATGTCATTTTTATTATTTTTGAAGCAAAAACTGTAAATTTGCCTAAACCAAATTAATATAAAATACCATGCTAACTTTAATGATGACATTTCACGTATTAAAAATATATGTATTTTTTTTTTTTTTTTTCATATATTTTGCAGACATTTTAGGCAAAAAATATGAAAACTCTGATGACAAAAATAATAAATATAAAATTATAAAATCGTATTTTATAAAATTTATATTTAAAAATCAAACATATATTTTGTTTTTGTTATATCCTAAAATTGCTGCCAAAAATCTATTTATGAAAAATCTGATGACAAAAATAATAAATATAAACTTATAAAATCGTATTTTATAAAATTTATATTTAATATTCAAACATATATTTATTTTTGTTAGATCCAAAAATTGCTGCCTAAAATCTATTTATAATATAATGATTACTCTTTTAATTAATTAATTTTCGTTATATATGTTAACCATGTTTGTCCAACCACATGTAACGTTTTATACTTTACCCAATTTTTTTTATATTATTTATTTTTACAACTAATAATAATTGTGATATATTTAAGCGTATTCTATTTAATATTAGTAATTATTTATTATGTACTATATAAGTAGTTTTTCTATTTTTTTTTAGGGATTTTTATAAACATTTTGATAGTGTAAACAAAAGTTTTAATTTATATTTTGTTTGAACAATTTGATAATTATAAATAATATTTTAAAATATGTGAATTGAAACTTTTGTACGATTTACTGAAAAAGTATTTGAACGATGTAAACTTTGTAGTTTTAAGAATAATAATTATTATTGTTACTATATTTTGATATATATTTTTTTCTATTTATAAAGTCTTTTAATGAGTACTTCTACTTTTTTACAGATTATAATATTTCTAAAATAATTATGTCACCTCTTGAAAACCACAGCTTATACAATACAGCTAAAACACTCTCTTGGCGGCAACGGTTTGCGTCGATTCCGTCGCGCATCGCTTAAGCTCCGCCTTCGGACGGAAAAGACGGCTTTGGCGTTCAGAAGCGTACTTAGGTAAGGTATTGGGCCGTGCGTATAATTTCGTTGATTGCATAATTTCGTTAAGCCTATAATTTCGTTGATTTTGTTTGAACTCTCTGTTGTGTTTAGTTAAAGGTACTGTTATTATTTTGTTGACTCTTTAGCTGTGAGAGAAATGAGTGAAAAAAAAGACAGCATTCTGTGCAGTCAAAAGCTGTTTTAATAAGGGCTATACCTACAAGAAAACATTCTTTCGTTTCCCAAGGGCCCAAACCGATAAATATTATAAGAAATTATCATTGTTAAAAATATAATTTATACAGGGTGTCCCATTAGTACGTAATTGTTCAATATTTGTGTTGTAGACACGCCAAAAAGTTTTAAATAAAAGTTATATGGATTTGAAAAATACCTTCATATTTTAAAAATATCTTTGGATATACAGGGTGTCGCGTTTTTGCCTGGCAAATTAAAATGTATGATTTTTTAAATGGAACCCCTGTATTTTATTTTATGATGAAATTATTAACAGCCTAAATTATTGTAAAGATGAGTTGCTACAGAAAAATGTTATTAGGTACGTGTGTGGTTACTTTTTAATAAAAGCCTTGCGGATCCACTCCTGTGATACCTGTCTTAAATATAACAAAGATCACGATGAATTAAATGATTTTTCTTTTTATTGCTTTTTAAGGGCATATGATAACGTCAATTCAGATACATTTGGAAATCCAAAACTGCCAAATGATGAATTTGTAGAACTAATTTTCATTATTGAAAAGATATTTCAAAATAATTTTGAAGAATTGGCAACATTTTTAGAATTAATTAACCCAATACCCTTTAGTTATCCAGGCCAACGTTTTCCAAAAGAATAACCTATTTTAATGTATGTTTAATCTCAATACCTAAAAAATATACTGACAATTAGTTTGACTTAGTGTCACTTATTTAAAATTTTAAAAATAATTGCAGTCGGTTGATCAAAATATGAAAGGTGATTTAATTTTTTTGCAGTGTTCTCACTACCTAGAATGGATACGAAATATATTCGTTCAGTTGAAGGCAATAGCATACTTTTTCGTTTTGTAATCTGCGCGTAAATAAAATAATATCAATGTGAGTGTAGAAAAAATAATTTTTCTAAGCCCACTTGGATATTAGTTAATCTACGCACAGACTACAAAACGCAAAAGTATGCTATTGCGTTCAACTAAACAAATATATTTCATATCCATTTTAGGTAGTGAGAACACTTTAAACAAATTAAATCCACAAATCACAGTTCATATTTTGGTTACCCAAGTCCTATTATTTAAATTTTTTTAAATAAGTGACAATTATGTCAAACTAATTGTCAGTATATATTTTAGTTATTGATATTAAATATGCATTAAAATAAGTTATTTCTGTGTAGACTCGATAAATAATAGCATTTTTGTTTTTATTGGGTCCTCATTTAAAAAAAAATAAATTTTAATCAAACTACATGATACTAATTTAATTACGAGTATTAAAACTAAAATCCTAAAATTGTCGGTGAAGATGAGGACAGAGAATCTGCCTTCCACGCGAAAAGCCCGGGATCGAATCTAGGCCGAGGAGTAATTAAATTAAATTAAATTAAATCGTTTTTTTCTTGTTTATTTTATTTTATAAATTAGTAAAATTTGTAAATTATTTTAAAATAAAATAATTTTTTAAATTTGTAGAGTTTCGTTAGTGGGTCGTAGAAAAAATATACTGTATAAGTCGAGTGGATTGTCCATATCACAATCAGACGATTGAGTAATCCGCCTACGGCGTCGTGCTCGAACTTCGTCTTCGTGTGACATGACTATCATATCCACTCTTGTTAAACAAACTACTATTTATTTGTTTTCTTGGTTTAAGTTTTACATCAGAAATAGGAACTAAATTAATTTACTTTTCAAGTTTTCTTATAAAAATCGATATTACTTTCTTCAAGTACAAATTAAGTACCTACGTAAAATTAGTACTAATTATGTAATTTCGTGTAATATTGTAATTCAAATTTCACATTACCATAAAGTTTCAAAATTCCCTACTTAGGTATGGTCAGATAAAAATTATATATTATATTAATAGAAACTGTCAAAATATTACTTCTATAAATCTGTATTCCATTGAATAAGAATACATCTAAATAAAACCAATACTGTTAAAATAAAAGCACAAGTGACCGATTCGTTATAATTCCAGAATACCATAGAGTTCCCAGACCTCAATCGAAGCATTCGTTTATCTAGGTATAAACCCTTTGCGCGATGAGTAACACGAGGCACCACTTGATTTGCATCCACGGGCGTGATAAAATTCGTTAACAATTGAAGCCCTTAGTGTAAAAAGGATCCAAGCCACAATTTGTCGTGAAGTGACTGTTTTAGCTCAAAATATTTAAATATTTAAATAATTTTTTTAATTATATTTGACCGGTTTAAAACAAATTTAAAACTTAATTTTTCAAAACTTACTTAATGTGGCATGTAACCAACCTTATTACGCCAACGTCTTCAATAATTTCAATAATAAAAATATTTTTTAATCCGGGCCCGACTTTTCCGTCGAATCTAACAGAGATAGCACCATTCCGTCTTGCTTGGTTCTCGACCACCAAATCAAAGGCGCTGATACGGAGTTTTGGAGCTGTATTGTATAAGCTGTGGTAAAACTTCTTAGGCCGCGATTAGATATTTGACGTAGGCAGTGGTCCGATATTTGGCGAGAATGAAGAGTGAAATGTTTCAAAGACATGTGACGCATGTAGCCATGGTAACGTCACGAAATTAAAAGAACATTGACCTTGAGAGTTTATATACCTACTATTTTTCTGTTTGAAAGATACAAAGCGGAGCGGAGTTGAGAGCGAAGAGGAGTGGAGTGGATAGCGGAAGGGAGCAAATGGAGTAGAGTGGGGGGGTAGAGTGGAGTGGGGTAAATTAGGTGTAGAGTGGGGAAACAGGGGGTAAAGTGGAATAGAGTGAGGTAGGGTGATGTAGAGCGAGGTAGAGTAGGGGTAGAGTGAAAATAGAGTGGGGGTAGAGAGAAAGTAGAGTGGAGGTAAAGTGGAGAGGGGTTAAGTGGGAGTAGAGTGAAAGTAAAGTGGAAGTAAAGTGGGGAGGGGTTAAGTGGGTGTAGGGTGGGGTAGACAGGGGTAGAGTGAGGTAGAGTGTGATAGAGTGGTGTTGAGTGAGGTAGAATGTGGCGGAGTGGGGTAGAGTGAAAGTAGAGTGGGGGTAAAGTAGGGTAGAGTAAGGTAAAGTAGAGTAAAGTGGGATAGAGTAAGGTAAAGTAGGGTAGAGTAAGGTAAAGTGAGGCGGAGTGGGGTAGAGTGAAACTAGAGTGGGGGTAGAGTGAAACTAGAGTGGGGTAGAGTGAAACTAGAGTGGGGTAGAGTGAAACTAGAGTGGGGTAGAGGGAAGTGGGAGTAGAGTGAAGTAGAATGGGAGTAGAGTGAAGTAGAATAGGAGTAGAGTGCGGGCAGAGTGGGGATAAACTAGGGGTATAGTATGGTATATTGGGGTAAGAGTAGGGGTAGAGTAGAGGTAGGGTGGGAGTAGAGTGAGAAAGGTGAGGTAGAGTGGGGTAAAATGGGGGGTAGAGTCGAGTAGAGTGAGATATAGTGCGGCGGAGTGGGGTAGAATTGGGTAAAGTGGGGTAGTGTGAAGGTAGAGTGTGATAGAATGGAGATAGAGTGGGGTAAAGTGCTTTAGAATGAGGTAGGGTGAAGGTAGAGTGGAGGGGAAGCAAAAAGAAAGAATAGCCAAAATTTCCGCATGCAATATATGCTTTTAGCAATCTATACAGGGTGTCCCATTAGTGCGTAATTGTTCATTATTTCAATTTGTGTTATAAATACGCAAATAAGTTTCAAATAAATGTTGAATGGTTTTAAAAAATACGTATTTTAAAAAGATGGATATACAGGGTGTTGCAGTTTTGCCTGGCAAATGAAAATGTATATTTTTTATGTTAAACATCCTGTATTTTATTTCAGTTTTAGAATGGTTTGGTAACACTGTATTCAACCCTAGATTTTTTTTTAAATATTGCAGGGTTGTTAAGTAATTAATTTTTTTATGAAATTAGAAAATGATGCAGACCCCAAATTAAATTATCATAATTTAGGTAGGTTTAAATTGATTTCAAAATTGTTTATTATGCATGTAATAAATAATTGCTGGTGTAACATACAAAATATTCCATTTAAAAAATTGAGAAAATTGTTACCTCTCATTTTGACATACCCTAAATACAACACAGGTTTCACTGT